TAATATAATATGTAAAAACACCTCATCAGAAGACAAACCACAACCTAATCAGAGCCTTTGAACCAAAGTGCACGTCTGTGTTCTCAAGGACTGACCATTGGCAGGGCACTCTACTGATGGGAGTGGTTTGCCTGCTGCTGACTTGGTTTGCCAAGCCTGTAAGTGAGAATGCTCCCTCAAGTCACCCCTGCACGGAGTTTCTATGCAGTTCAAGTCTGGCCCTCTACAGCCAGGGGGACACTGAAGAAGTCAGACTTATAGAGTAGAATACAGAGTAGAGGTAACTGAGCCAGGTGGAAGACCGTAGGTTACTAAAGTGTAGAAGCCAGCCATGATAAACTAAATAGAAACAGACCACCCAAAGGAGTTCTTTACTTCCAACCATTATCACCTGCCAGAGTAGGACTCTGCTGCAGATACGTTTAAAGGAGTCCTGAGTCTCTGTAGTTTACCCCGAAGCAATACCTGGCTACAGGGAGGACCATAAACTAAGCTTACCAGAGCACCACCCAAAAACAGACCATCCAAAGGAAAAGCCTAAAGTTCCAGCCATGGTAGATAGGATCACCTGCCAGCACACACTCATCAGGACACCCCTAGACAGTGTCAGCCAATCGGGGCCTTGAACCTTAGAAACCCCTCACCCCCACCTTTACTACTTTAAAAACCCAACTCTGAGCTTGGGGCTCTCCCATTATTCCAATACATTAGACATGTAGAGAGACAGAGTTTGCAGACTTGCATAAAATAAAGGCTCTTTGCTTTCACATCTGGGATTTGATCTCCTTGTTGGTTTTTGTAGGACTTCACAAATCTGAGCATAAGAAAAGCAGGTTAATTTAAATTGTAAGAGTTAGAGGGACAAGCCTAAGCTAATGGCCAAGCTTTCATAATTAATAATAAGTCTCCGTATCATTATTTGCGGGCTGGTGGTTTCAACAAGAAAGTACTGTTGCATATCGGGTTCTTTCTGGACTTTCCCTGTTAGGAGCCATCAACATCGGTCCTTGGTGGGAAGTGGTCACTGAGACACCTGTGTCACAACCAGGGGAAAAGACAGGTGCACACAATTCCATATCTATTTAGTATGTCTTTTTAGAAACAGGGCCTCACCCTGGATGGAGGGGGGGAGGGCCTTGGACTTCCCACAGGGCAGGATACTCTGCCCTCTCTTAAGATTGGAGGGGGAGGGAGGAGGGTGAATGGGGGAGCGAAAAGGGAATGGGAGGAGGGGAGGAAGTGGACATTTTGAATGGAATATATATACAGGGCCTCGCTGGGGCGGTGGTGGCACTGCTTTAATCCCGGCACTTGGGAGGCAGAGGCAGGTGGAGCTCTGTGAGTTCGAGGTCAGCCTGGGCTACAAAGTAAGTTCCAGAACAGCCAAGGCTGTTACACAGAGAGACCCTGTCTCAAAAAAACAAAAAACAAAACAAACACGCATAAACAGGGAATCACTATGCAGTCCTGGGTGACTTGGAACTCACTATAGAGACCAGGCTGGTCTAAAATTCAGAGATCTGCCTGCTTCTGTTTCCAGAGTGCTGGGGTTAAGTGTGTTCCATTACACCTGGTCCAAATAATTTAGTATTTTAAAGCATACTAGCTGCTTTTGATTATTAAATACTTGGGTAAAGGTAAAACAAAACAAAACAAAATTCACCTTTTAAGTCTCCGTGTCTCCCAACACCTCATAGTTTGGATGATCTGAAGTTGACATTAATTATAAAGCTTTAATATGAGGCATTGGGATGGTTAATTTCTCCCAAGTCAACAATTTATCTGGATTTATCTGATGACATCTTACCTATTTCTCAATGTTCCAGGCCTTGATTACCTACAAATCTCCCCAAGGCCTCAGACCATAATCCCCTCCTTTTGATAAGACTTAAGAAAACTTTGGCATGTTCAAAGACACATTGGCATCAGGGCACATTCTCAAAACGTGCAACATATCAGGTGCATTCCGCAGTGTTTAAGGCAAAACACAAAGTAGGTAGTGGATTCTGAGGAGGCTCCTATTCTGGGAAGACTTGTAGGGATGCAGGAGGATGGAAAGTGGTAGGGAAGCATTCTACGGGGCTTGACTCAAACAAGGAATCCAAGGTGAGTCCTGGCTGAAGCCAATTCTGATGAAACCTCTCCTCCTCTCAAAGTCTCTGGTTCACTTTCCAGTCTGGGTCAGGCTAGCATGGAAACAGTATGGCCGTGAGTAGCTGCTCTCTGGTTCCTTTCCCATCTCTCCAAAGCTAAGCTTCTGGTTCTCTTATGTGATGCATCTCCATTCTAACATACATTGCTGAGAGGGGTTATAATGCTGTCATAGCCTTCACATGGAAGTTAAATGCTTGCCTGCTCATGTTCTCAGAGTGGAACATGAAGGAAAACATTTATCTGTTGAGTCTAGAGGGTGTATAACTGCCAGATGCTTCTCTAAATAGGGTGAGTTACAACTGAGGACAACAAGGTGACAATACTTATGGAATTTCTATGTCTGAAATGGCAACTGATAGCCATAAAAGACTATGTAAGTTTAAAGCTAAAATAAGAATCTACCACAAAGCTGCATTTCAAGTGTCTTATAGTTCCAAATGGCTAGTGGCTCCCGACACTAGCCATAGTGGACAAGACAGAACCACTCTGTCTCTGTGGAAAGTTTTGCAGAACAGTGATGTTCTAGAATAATGGATTCTATTACATTATCATTATGGGGTATTTCACCTGTCCCATAAGAAAAAAGACAAGACTGTATCTTTTCTTAGCTTTTTAAAAATATTTATTTTATTTTTTAAAGATTATATTTAGATGTGTGTCTGTGAAAATGTGAGGGAAAGTAACCACAAAGACAGAAGAGTCTCAGATGCCCTGGAGTTGGTATCACAGGTGGTTGTGAGCCACCTGACATGGGTGCTTGGAATGCAACTTGAATCCTCGGGAAGAGCGGTGGTGAGAATTTGGATGACAATATCCCCTGATGGCTCATATATTTGACTCCAGTTGTTGCTACTGTTTGGGGACATAGAGGAGGTATGATCTTGTCACTAAAGGCAGGCTTTAGGAGTGAAGACTCCCACCATTTCTGGTTATTCTTCCTGCTTCAGACTTGTGTTCCAGGATGAGAGTTCTCAGCTTGTCCTCGTCACTTGGCTGCTGCTTGCTGGCATGCAGACCAGAGTCCCCACCACCATGGCCCCTAACCCCCTGGAACCACAGCCCAAATTAAATCTTCTTTCCCTAAGTTGCCTTGGCCATGGCGTCTTATCACAGAAACAGCAAAGTGACTAACATAAGTAGTGAGCTCCTCCTTTCTTATTCTTTATACTACCAAAGAAACAAAAACAGCAACATCAAAACACTTGTAAAAACACAGTACAATTAGTAATTCTGTCAAGAACGGAATGCCTCATCCTGCCATGGGCTAGAGATCATTTTTCATTTACAAACTGAAGAAGGGACTTATAAGTGAGCAATCAATGAATTCAAGGCATTAACCCTCACAGTGAGAGTGAAGGTTCTCATGGAATCACGTGGGAAGTTATTTCAACAGTCACTTTTTATTTTCCCTGTGAAGATGTGTTGTAGACCGGTGTCCTCAGAACAGTCTTTACCACCCTCATCACAGTAGCTGTGACAACCTGCGGGAGACCCCCAGCAGGAGGAGATGGGGGCGTCAACCGACGCTCACCTGAGGCTCCAGACTCTCTTCGTATGCTTCCATCCCAGTTATTTGTGACTCTGCCCCAGCCACATGTAGTCTTAGATGTTGCTAGAGTATGTAGAAGGTGGATGGTTGCCCAAGTGGGATAGTCTACCTCCACAGCACAGGGGAAGTTGTTATCTATGCTGAGTTGAGACTTTTTAGTGATGTGGCCGCTTTGTGGTCATTCGCATTTCCCTAAGTAAGCCCCAACCTATAAGTCTAACTCACTGTTTCACCAAGTTGGACTCTGGTAGAATCATTACTTTGGTCTGATGTCAATGTCCTAGCTGCAGTGAATATGGTTAAGTCTCCCTATAAAATGTTTACATAATAAAATAGTCCGATATTTTTTCCTTCAAGTCCCAGGGTTTCATCTCAGCAAATATCACCGTGGTAGTTATCCTGGAATCTGCAGTGGAGACATTGCAGTAGTTAATGCCTGTTTTATTAGGAAAAGAATCAACCTGCAGAACGGGTTGCTTGTGTTCTCCAATGACATCACTTGTAAAGACCTGTGATATGTGGCAGACACATGCGATGGGTCACACTCAGTCTAATAAGGAATCTGCTTGTGACAGGCTTTCAGTACAAGTTTCTAGACCCGAATGAACGTCAAGACCTTCAGCCTTTTTAAAATGTAAAATGATGCTTGTTAATTCTTCACCGGAAACAAATACGTTTGTTAAATCCTTTTGCAAACCTTTAGAAGTTGAGATGTTAACAAGCTAGCTTTTGAGCTTATGTATAACTCTTTTTTAAAGATGAAATTATATGAGTTTGAACCTTGACTGTGTGGTAAGTCCTCTGGCTAGATGGGTCAGAGTGTGAAAAGGTATGCTCTTTACCAGAGATTATTTCTTGAGAAGAAGCACAGGGAAATTTGTAAAATCTTATTTCCATTCAATTTCTATGCATCTTTCACGCATCTCTAGTATGATGTAAATACTAGTTTTTACATCTGTATGAAGTGTGAGTTCAAAAAGAAGTAGGTGTGGCTAATTTATACTGCCAGGTAAGTTTACATGGGTCTAGTAGCAACCAAAATAAAAATTAAAGAAATAGCCCTGGATTTCAGGGTAATGTATCTGTTTATTAGGAGTCGTCACAGTATTAACCCACTGTTTTGCTCGGAGTCGATGCTGCCTCCCTCTGCATCGCCCAGGTCTGGTCCCCAGTTACTTTAGGAGAAAGGCGGGAGGAGAGCGGAGGCTCCGCCCCTGGGAGGAGGCGGCCAGTTAGGCTGGTCCGGCAGGAGGCGTGGTCTAGAGGGGCGTGGCCCAGCAGCAGGTCACGTGCCAGACCGGGCGCCAACAATTCTGGCGCGCGCGTTCCCAGGCCTTCCTGGCTCCGGAGGCGCGGTTTCTCAGCTTCCGCACGCTTCATTTTCGGGATCCCCGGGGCGTCCTCGTGAAAGCGGTCCGCGTGGGTGACGGCCGCCCGGTGGCACGGCCCGGCTTGTGTGGAGGCCGCCTCAGGAGCGGGCCCGCGAGCGCGCAGGTCAGTGTGGCTCGGGGTGGGGCGTGACGGGCCTCGGAGCCTCGGGATCTCGGTTGTGGGAGCCAGGACTGCGGGTGCGACACGCCGCGCAACTGCGAGCGACTTAGGAGCGCGTGTCCTAACTTGTAGTTTCCTTCCAGCCGGAGGATTGATTGACAATGGAAGTCACGCGTCGTGCGTGAGACCATTGTCCCGGACCGCCTCTACAAACCCCAACGACAGCAAAAGGCGATTTAGCAATCGAATGACCGCAGCTGCCCTGACTCTTAACCCGTGGCCCCAGAGATCTGCAGGAGGCATTGAATCGCGTTTTCCTGCTTGGAGTTGTCAGCTGTCCGGTGTTTTTAAGTAGGCAGCATTGTAAAATTGAATGGCTCAGCGTCTGCTAGTAAGTTAGACAAAGCTGATTGAATGCTGCCCAGTAGCTATTTGGTTTCTAAGGCTGCTTGATAATGGAATTGAACTAGCTTTGTATCAGTAAGGTCTTTGCTGAAGTCCTTCAGTTCTCTGTAAAAGACACATAGTGGATAGTTTGGAACAGACTCATTTCTTAGCTTTTGGAAATTGTTGACTATGTTGGAGGTCATCAGTGTTCACATGCTAACGCAGTGCTGCTTTTTTTTCTCCCTTGCACCATGGTTAATATAAATTCTAAGTTCCTCGGATGAAATTGTAAGCATCTGTAATTATGGAATAGCTACAAAGTCCACTTTCTTCCGATACTCTAATTTTAACTTGTCAGGTGAGCCCCACGTACAACCTACACAGAGAAAGATGTCACTAACACTTTCAAAGTTTATCCTTTTAGTTTCTCTCGGGCAGAGTAGCTCCCAGCGGTGTTTGGTAGCTGATAATCAAAATAAGAGTTAACTCCCAGAATTCAAGCAGCCTTATCGGAAATAGTTGTTCAGTGACACTTGTTAAGTGTTGATTGTATATCATCGGGGATGTGGTGGCAGTGTTTAATTCCTGTCTCTGGGGACTGCTCATTTTGCAGGTATTATTCAAGCAGTTTGCATACCTGTGAACAGCCAGGCAGGATTTCTCTAAAAAGTCCCCTTCTCCTGTATTCTCTTAAAGGGAAATGAGATGGTTCCAGAAGGAACCAGTCTGTGAAAGAATTGGTTGGTTCTTTTGGGGGGGGGGGGTTCTATGATGCATTTTCCACTAAATTACAAACTTTCTCTTGTTGATTTGACTGAGAACTGTGTGATCATAGTATTTTTCAGTTAGAGCTCTGTTTTGGCAATTTTTGTTTTATTTTCAAGACGATATTATTCCCTGGTTGTCATTCTCCTGAGTGCTGGGATTGCAAGCCTGTACTACTTCACTGGACTTGGTGACGGTCTCTTACATGTTCACACAGTAAGAAGCTGACTTCATAAGTGCTCACAGAAAAAAAAAGTCAGTAAAAAGTAGAAGTCAACTAGTAACGTATGGAGGAGAGAGAATAAGATAGCCCTGTGTGTGAGAAGTGTGAAGGGCTAAGAACCTTGGCAGGTCTCTTAATCTGGGTCAGCTTCAGCCAGGATTTTGTTGATGGCATTGTAAATTCTTTGAGGTTCCTAGAAAGAGTACATAGGTTTTGCAGCGTAGTTATTGGCGTATGCCAGTTCATTAATGAAGTTTCAGAAAGGGCTGGGGAGATGGCTGAGTTGGTGAACTACTTAGTGTTGTGAGGACCTGGTCTTTCTGTAATCCCAGGGCTGCCACATTATGAGAGGAGGCAGAGGCAGGGGGATCCCTGGAAGTTTCTGTGACACCTACGCTATTAGCTGTTAGAGATGGTGACCAGGAGACCCCAAGTCAAGATAGAAGGCCAGGAGAGAGATTATATGACCTCACACATGTGCTGTGCACACAGACACATGAACATGCCACACATACCATGCACACAGCAATGAGAAACAGAAATGTCACATATTCTGCACAGGGTATATTTATGATTTTGGGTATCGTGTCTTTTATCTGAAATGGTCTTCGTGACTGAACTTGAAGTTTTTTCTCCCAAAACTGAACTGATGCTGACAGTGTGAATGGTCTGTGGGAAGCACTTGTGTAAGAAATAGATGATTTAGGTTACTCCATTGGCGTTTCCCATTCATTAGCCCGCAAGGAGGATATTATGACACATGAAAGCAGTCCATACCTACATGTCCCATCGTGTGCCATTGGAAAGCAAACCACAAGCGTGCTTTGTGTTTACTTCCCTTTAAAAGTGACTCACACTTCTAGTCCCGACCAGGAGCTGAGTTAGGGGATGTCCTGCACTCAGGAATGGCACGCTGTCCAGAGCAACTGCCAGACTCTTTCCCTCACAACTTCTCTTTAAAGAGAGATTTCTATAGTGTATAAACTGTGATGCATCAATATTATATGACTTTAATTTCATTTGCAAGATAATTGATTTTCAAGTATGAAATAAAGTGGGAGAAATTGAAATTCATCTTGTCTAAGGTTCAAAAATGTTTATTAAAAATAAGATTCCACCAACTTCCATGTTAGTATTGTCATTATTAAAATATTTGTCCAGTTTGAGACTCCTCTGTAGCTTCTGTAGACCAGCTGTTTTGAAACACTAGCTAAAAGTTTTAGACTCTGACTAGGTGGTGGTGGCAGAGAAACCCTGTCTCGAAAAACCAAAAACCAAACTAAAAGAACAACAACAAAACCCTAAAGTTTCAGAATCTTCAAGTTGAAATTGAAGTCGGGGGTGCAGGAAGCTTCCTCCTAGATAAAAAATAAGATGTAGCACATAAAGTTGAAACAGTGTTGTAAAGGAAGGCCTTATTTAATGTTCATCAAGCATTAAGTTTTTCAACCGGATTTATATGAAATGATAATTACCCAGTTATTAGGCAGAATTTTCTGTGTGGCATTAAGTGGACTCTGACTACACAGACCGGAGGTGATTCAAATGATAAGTGTTAAGAGGATCGTCTCCCGCCTGAGGGTTTGACATGGTGGCCTGTGGCCTGGGCATAGGCAGCTGTGCAGAAGAACGGTGCTTATCCTCGGGGCAGAGAGATTACCTGAGAGTTAGAGGAAAAAGTTTTCTGCATGAAAAGTTAAGCAGCTTTATCTTTAACTGGAAACACTAGAGAGCGCTCCCCAAACCGCTCTCACACCGCTGCTTTCCTTGAACTGCTAGGTTTTAGAAAGCCTAAAATCAGATTCCTCTCTTCAGTGTCCACATGGGAGCGATGACCAGAATCCGTGGCACTGGCCTGAAGTTTATGAGATAGATTGCATTATTTTATCCCGACATTGCAAGTTCTGGACTGTGGTTGTGGTTCTGCTATCATCCACTTGGCAAATAATTTAATTTCTTGTGTTTTGGCTTTTCAACCAGAAACTCACTGTTAGATTAGCTAGGAACCTCTTACCAGTGCCAGGTTTCTAAAACAAAAATGCATCTAGTTGTTTGGATCATTGCAAATGCCATAGTTGTAAAAACGTGTGTGCAAGAGTTATCAGTTGCTTGGGAACAAGTAATCAGAGCAAAAGTTCTGACCATTTCTATGCCTTTTACATAGTAATTTTTTAAAAAATAATTTATTCTTATTTTATGTATATTGCTGTTTTGCCTGCTTGCATGTCATTGTGAGGGTGTCAGATCTTAGAATTACAGACAGTTATTAGCTGCCATGTGGGTGCTGGGAATTGAACCTAGGTTCACTGGAAGAGCAGTCAGTGCTCTTAACTGCTGAGCCATCTCTCCAGCTCCTACATAGTTAAAGAACACAACATGGGGACACATCCCATTTAGCAGTGGCCACTTTGGAACGCAGAGTTAAGCAGTTATCTGAAATACCTTTTAAGGTTTAGTTTCTATGTATATTTGTTTATAACATTTAATTTTTTCCCATTAAAATTCTTAGACCATAATGTAGCTAAAGTACTATATTGGCATGTTGATATCCAATCATAAAATAAATATCTGCTTGTGATTTTTCTTTTCCTTTGTGATGCTGGGTGTTGGGTCCATGGAGGTGGGAGGGGGGGTCACGCAGATATGGGGACAGACCACCAAAGTCTAATAAACCAGAAGCAAACTTTATTCCAGGAAAAAAAATTAAAAATTAAAAAAATAAATCTCTATGGGGCACAAAAAGCTTACCAGCTAGCTGAGACCACAGCCAGAGATGTATTTGTAAGGCTGTGGCAAAGGCCAGTTTTTGAACTCCTTTTATAACAAACGTAACTAGTGTTTGTATTTAGTTCATTGTTTTTCCCTGGCATTCCTTGAATGAAGTTGAGGCCATGACCACCTTAGTTTTCTAAGAACCACTGTGCATGCACATCTGGAAGCACAGCTGGACTGGTAGAGTTTTGAAGTCCCAGCTCCTCTCTGCATGTCTATTTGACTTTTGCTTTTGATTAACTAGTTGTAGATTTTGGGATTGGAAATGATTTTCCCCCAGAACTTGAGAATTTCTTAGCTACTCACTTTGCCTTGAAAAGTCAGCAATTCTGATTCCTACTCCTCTGTCATTGGAATCTTTCCTTTCCCAAAAGCTCAAGAATTTTTTTTTCCTGATGTGGACTTTGGAAACCTTTAAGCTCACCCTCAGAAATGTAGTTTCTTCCGACAAGGCCACACTGTTAGGATTCAGGCATTATGCTCCCCCCCCCCCCTCTTCTGGCAGGGATGAACCTAGGCAATACCCTAGCCAGCCCAGGGTCCTATGGCTGCTGCCTTTCTTTGCAGGTGCAAAGGTTCCTTTAAGAGATAAGTTCCGTCCATTCCCAATCTCTCTTTCCCCACTGCTCTTCTGAGGAGTCAGGCAGGCAGGCAGGCCTCTCCCTCTCCTTCCCACTCCCTGTCCCCCACTCGTCTCAATAAACTTCACACTTACTCTGTCTGTATGGTGTATTTGTCGTTCACAGCCCTCACCCATCCTGGGCTCACCTGCCAGGGTCCCACTTGCACTGTATCATAACACACACCTCCTCCAGCAAGGCCACACCTTTTAACCCCTTCCTACACAGTTCCTGTA